GAGGCTGAAGGTCCTGGTCGAAAGGTCGAGGAGATTCTGCGGAATTATAAAAAGAGCGGGATGGGCGAGAAGGTATGGAACCATACCGAGGAAGAGTTTTTCCGGATTACGGGCAAGACCGCAATATAAATGGTGGTATATTGTGCCGGAAATATGTGCTTGGCAGTGAGGTTTGCTGGATGTGTATATGCCCTTTCACTATTTGCGTCCAACTTCAATACCATTTAACCAGGATTCCGCCTCGCCAGCCTGTTTACGCATGTTGCCAAAATCATATCAAGCAGAACATGGTCAGAATCAACCCAGCATGCCACGCTTTACAAAGATACGTGATTAATGTTGTTAGCTCTTGGCTTATTGATACTACACGTATCCGATAGTGTTTTATATCATCTATACATACGAGAACCATGATTTGTGCGCAATCCAACTTGGAAATCTTCCAACACTTTGAGTAATTCTTTTAAAGATGGATAAATAGCAAGCCTGTATGATGAGATTAGACCACATCTTGTCATTCTGCCGATGGCAGGATCCTCATAAGACAGTGCCCCTCGGGCAGCTCTTACTTCCCACTGGTCCTGTGCAGAGAGGCGAGCCTCCTCTGGCTCGCGCCGTCCCAGAAGCTCCCACTCGAATTGATCCGAGGCGCCGCGGGAGTCAGTGTTGCGGTGGAGCGACGATGAACCACGATCGGGGGCGGATCCCAAGCCCTGGTGTTATACTCCACAACTCCACAATGCCTTGAGGCTTGGAATTCGGGCAGGCTCAAACCGGGTCTTACTGTACGTGCAGTAGATTCGGCTAATTGATTGGTACACCTTGTTGAAGATTGTTAGACGAGACGCACAGCTGATATCATGATATATGTGTAGTAGCGACAGGGCAGCTTCGCGCGTGATATGATCCAAATCCACTGTACGATCGTAATGCTTACATGATATTCCATATTTATGTCAGACGCAGTGTGATTTTGGGGCCGTTATAATTGCCGTGGCCTTGATGTATTGCATTCGCCGGATGCGCCGCAATTATGCCTGCGTATCAGGATGCAATTGGAAATAGAGAAGAAGTCTTGTAGGTACGAGCCGAGCCCTGTAGGAACCGAACCCGCCAATGGGAACATGCCAAGCTCCTGTAGCAAACACTATCGACTGAAGGTATCTTTCTGCGTACCAAGTCATCCTAATTCTCGTGCCTGAAAAGCTGTGTTAGAAAACTCGCCCCACCATAATGCACGCTCATCTAGCAGCTCCGGGCCTCTGGAGGATGTGCGAACCGGTTGTGATGCTGCATCCATATAGCTCCTCCACTGAGATGACTGCAGAGCTGAGAGCCGACAGGTTTACACACTCGTTCAAGTATAGTCCGAGATGCCAGTTTTCTGTCAGCCCTTGTCGCGCGCTGACGTACATACCCATCTAGGGAATTTTCTTGCCCTCATGGGCCGCTCTTTTCAGTCGAGTAAGGGCTGGCTACTTGCAACTATGTATGTTGGTAGCTAGGGCTGATTGACATTACGTCGCGTTGTGCAAGATGGGGCATACTTTTGTACGTAACTGATGGCCATATAACAAGTGATTCTTCCCCGAGGGATGTTTTGGCTGCACAAGTATCGCACACTGTCAATTCCAGTTTTGCGAGTTTGCATTCCAGAAGTATAATCTGAGGCCAATTACTTGGTGTTTGCTACATTAGTTCACGAACCTGGAGGAGGACTCAGAAGTTCAAGACGCCGACTATACAAAGAGTCCATTGTAAAAGTACTAGGTTCGTAGACATGTGCCCGAGAAAGGAACTGTCGAGTTAAAACCAACGATAGGTGTTCTACCAGAGCAACGTCCCGTGATGGCCTGCTCAAAGCCTGATTCGCACGCCAAGCGGGAGGTTTTGGTCTTCGGGCCCCAGATTCTGTCATTCAGCCCAGACTCTGCTGCCACCTTGCGATCGCAACCAGACAAGCACTTCCGATCCGTGAACATCACAACCGAGGGCGCCTTTGGTGACCTGACAAACGTTATAGCCAGTCTGAATGACGATGAAAAATCGACATCCACTTCTGATACAGAAGAAGCCTTGAGCTCAAATGGCACGCTGTTCTCTTCAGTTTCCAACGATCATGTGAATCAGGTCAATGGCACGACAAACGGCAAGACAAAACTAGCCCACGAGAACGGTCACCCGGTACAATCAAACACTGTACATCTTCCCGCAAAGCACGTCTTGGATACATCCTTGCATCACGCAAAGCTCACCGATGATTACATATCGACGCATGGTCTATCTGGCTACGTTGATGAAGTCGTGCCTAGATTGGATCAGCTGTGTATTGCATACATCCGTGATGCATTTGAAAAGCTACAGTGCGAGGGCGAAAATATCACTCACCTACCCCGACATGAGAAATTCGTGGTTCTGCTCCGCGGCCTATTGCATCAGAAGTCGCAATTCATGGAGTCTGTTGGTCCAGGGTTGCCTACCGCCTTGCTTTTACAGGACCTTCGGAAACAGTTTCCTGCACATCGTTTCGACTATGAATTGCTCGAGCTGGTCGGAGGCAAACTGGCTGAATGCCTGGACGGCAGGGCCGACCCCATTCAGATCATATTTGGCAGCCCCGAGTCTAGGGATATTATCTCGGGCATGTACGGACAGTCGCCCATCAACGTGGTGTGGATCAGTATGCTCAAGGACTTCCTGCGAAGTCTCATCTCCAGACTGCCATCCATGAGCCTCTCAAGATCTTTGAGATAGGCGCGGGAACTGGAGGGACGACGGCCAAGATCATTCCCGTTCTTTTGGAGCTGGGCGTGCCGATCGAAAACACCGTCACGGATATCTCATCGTCTCTCGTTGCTGCGTCACGCAGGAGGTTTAAGCAGTACGACTGGGTCAAGTATCGCGTATTCGACCTGGAGAAACCAGTTTCGGAAGATATCCTAGGTTCCCAACACATTGCCCTCTCAACCAATTGTATCCACGCCACTAGCAATCTGGTAGACTCAACCAGTCGCATACGCAGCCTCTTGCGACCGGATGGGTTTTTGATCATGCTAGAGATGACACAGAAACTCGCATGGATAGACCTGACATTTGGCCTGCTGGAAGGCTGGTGGCAGTTCGATGACGACCGAGATCACGCTCTGGCACCAGTGTCAGCCTGGAAAAATGCCTTGACCCGAGCTGGATATGGCCGCGTTGAATGGACAGATGGGGCCCTGCCCGAGGCCGCGATCCAAAGACTCATTTTTGCCACGGCGTCTTCAGGACAAAGGTCTGACGAGTGTGACACGTTGGTCGCTCCGTCGATGCAGTCACTTCATTGCAGAACCCCGGCAGACTTTCAGACATTGCAAGATCGTGAGACCGCCGTCGACGCTTATAAATGCAACTTTATCGCCAACATCTTTCCCCACCCGCCTTTCGACGATTTTTATTCGTCTCAACGACCCATCGACGGTCAACCACCTGCTGTGGTCTTGATCACAGGTGCCACTGGGAGCTTGGGTAGTCATCTCGTCCAGTATTTGGCTGAGAATCCTGAAGTGACATCGATCATCTGCCTGAACCGCCAAGATAGTACCGCGGCAGACTTTAAACAGGCGCAAGCACTAAAGTCCCGAGGTATTCACCTCAGCCCTATGGCCTCCTCCAAGCTCAGAGTCTTCCAGACAGACACCTCGAAGCCGATCCTCGGACTGTCACAGAGCGAGTACGAGTATCTATGCAGCCATGTGACGCATATTGTGCATAGCGCATGGCCGACGAGCATCACGCGCCCTATCCGTGGGTTCGAGACTCAATTCAAGACCATGAAGAACCTCTTGGTGCTCGCCCGCAACGCGTCCGAGGTACTGAGGCGTCGATCTTCTTCTGGCAAGATCACATTTCAATTCCTCTCGTCCATGGCCGTCGTCGGATTGGATCCGCTGCGCTCCGGTCAGCCGCGGGTTCTGGAAGAGCACATGCCCGTGGCGTCGGTGCTGCCCAATGGCCACGGCGACGCCAAGCTGGTGTGCGAGCGCATGCTCATCAACACACTAGGTAGATATCCTAATATCTTTCGGTCCATGACTGTGCGACTAGGCCAGATCGCTGGGTCGCGTGCTACGGGGTACTGGAATCCTGACGACCATTTCTCGTTCGTGGTCAAGTCGGCACAGGCCTTGGGAGCATTGCCGGTCTTGGAGGGGGTAAGTTCCACCATCCCGATTAATGGAAATTTACTGTTTGGAATCTCGAAATTATTTCATATTCTGACATTTGACCTACACTGTAGACGCTCTCCTGGTGCCCCGTGACCGACTGCGCAGCCTCTGTCTCGACATTGCTCCTGTCCACTACGGCAACGCATGATACCTACCACATTGAAAATCCTATCAGACAGCCTTGGCCTGTCATGATCGAATATCTTCGAAAGGCGATGCAAATTCCCAGAACACACGTCATACCTTTTGACGAGTGGGTGGCGCGCCTGAGACGAGACCTCGCCACGACCTCTGCGGGGACAAATGGCAACAACTCGACTTGGCACCACATTGAATTTCTCGAGGCCCATTTGGTTAGGATTTCATGTGGAGGGGTAATACTTGACGCGACCAAGAGTATGGAGGATTCTAAACTGCTTCGGAACATGAGGCCTGTTGATGAGGATTTGGTCAAGAAATACGTCCAAAGTTGGAAAGACATAGGGTTCCTAGAGTAGACTGGCGACAATTGATACGGACCAAGCCTTGTAATAACACATTTTAAACGAACAATATTATTTAAAACATTTGCTCAAGTTTGTTCTCCCCTTCGAACATGGTTATGCCTTTCCGTACAAGTGACAAATGGGAAAATTGTCAGGTGCTCTCGGTGGTGACTCACGCCGTGGCGCCTCAGCCGTCGCACCTTCCTTCCAACCTGCGATACGCCAAAGCAAGGTTTCGAAAACGTCACGCCTTGCCCCTACTTATTTAAAATTAACAGAACTTTCTTCAACAAACAGTAAATACTGAGGCCTGATGGTCCAACGGTACGATACTTGCTTTGGGAGCAAGTGACCCCGGTTCGACTCCGGGTCAGGCCCCATACTCCTTTCTTTTTGCCAATTTTTCAGTTGGAACCCCAATCCAATTCGTCTTTCACGTATACATTAGTACTTCTTCGCCCCTGCTTTGTGGCCTCGGCAGAATCTGTTTTGTTTCCCTATGACGTGGTTCTTGTCGGATTTTGCGATTCGCGGCTTACAACTTGGTGGTGCCCTTGGTTGACATGATGAAGCTAGAGGCAACTCGTTCAGGTTTTACGAAATACGAAATGCCCCAAATACCAGTCGAGTATTTGACAATTCGGGTTTCATCTCTCTATATCTACAAATGTACACGACCTTTCACCCATCGACACCTTATTTCTTCCAGAACCGCCACAAACTGTGCCCCACGACCGCCGTGGCCGACAGCACCGTAACCCAGATAACGCTGGCCTGCAACACTTTTTGCCGCATGAACTTGTCTCTGGCCTCCCGGTCGTTGGCCCTTGGGAAAGGCTTATCAGGGATGGGCCTGTTGAGAAATTTGCACAGCGGCTCCCATCCTCCGGCCAGGTCCATTTCGAGCAGCTTGTCCTTGGGCACTTGTTTCCGGACCCATGCGTTGTGCTTTTCCAGGAAAGCCTCGTCTTGCCTCTCCACTCCGTGAGTTCGCTCCAGGCTGTAGATGAAATTAGCACAGCTCATTGTTTCCCGGGTCGAAATATAGCTACTCACTCCTCGTCGAACCCCGCCGCGATCGACGGGAACCACCGCGCCCCCGGCACGGGCGCCAGGAACAGCGCAAATAGCCACCGGGAGAGCGGCGTCTTGACCTCGGCGTCGCCAAAGACGCTGAAGCTGTCCCACCACCGCGCCGGGTCGCGGGTCACGAGCACGACCCGGGCCTCCGGATACAGCTCCAGTAGCTCGGGCAGGAAGTGGATCGCGGGGCAGTCGGAGCACCCGACGAAGCCGCCAAAGACCTCCCTCAGGGTCTTGAGGAGGCGCTCCCGGTCGCCGTCGCGCTTGTACTTGTACAAGAGGCTGATCTTTCGGCAGTAGGCTGTTTTACAGCGGGGTTTGGTGTCAGCGAATAGTGGTCAGTCTTCGCCATACGCCTCATTGCGTTGGACTATAAATAGGCTTATGGATGATCTTACCATCTTCGCGGTTGAACATTTGTGTTCCGCCGTGCATGGCCGGGCCGTCTAAAATCTCCTCAAACGCCATGGCGAAAGACATGGTGGCCGTACGCGAGTAGCCCATGTCGATGATCTCGAGCTGTCGGGAAGGGTCCCGAGGCTTTGACGGTGCTGCGCCCATTTTTACCAAACGTTGTCGTAATGCGATGAAATCTGAGTGTTTAACAAGTTGGCGCGCTGGTGGTGGTTGGGAAATAATGGCTACCGTACCCGCGTTGCACGTGAGACACTATACGTATGATGGAGGAAACCTGTGTGACGCGAGGAATCAAGTCTATATAGTGGAAAACCGTGTTTGCAGTTCTCGTACGATTGAACGCGTGACCCAAAATCCCGAGGTTTTCCTATTACTCCAAGGATCACGAGTGTAGGTAAGCAATAGGATTGCGGAGCGTAGTTGGACCGGGTAGGCCCTGCTCTCTTTTTTTCAGCTGTAATCCTTTCCGCATCCTTCGCGCATAGCCACGTGTTGAGTCATCGCAGACCACTTTAGCTTCATAACTGACAACTGCGTTACCAAATCAATTACGGCGTCCGTGATATGAGAGCCTTTTCACGCAACCAACCAAGTGAGTTATTTTTGAGAGTGTTAATGATCCTGGATCGAATGCTCGCACACACAAAAAGGCAGTCACCTACATATGCAATTCACGATTTCGATCGACTTTATACTTGGCGCTGTCCACTTCAGATCATCGTGCTGGATGTGCGACAACTTGATCATCGCATGATGATTATGTTTGGCAAATATATCGCGGTTCAAATTTGCGCAGAGAATCATTTTGATTCATACCAAACATGGCGACCAAATTACAAATTTCTCGCCAACAATACTCTGGCATTCTGAAGAACAATAATCACAACCTCGTCTATGCGATTCCAAACCATTGCATATCAGCATCACCAAAGATGGCCGCCGTGTGGCCAACGCCCTAGACATCATGTCAGTACTCAAAAGGAGCAAGTATATCTTCTCTCGAAACTCACAGTTCCATAAACACCCTCGACGTTCTCGCCATAGACATATCTCGTGTACGGGCTAGCCGGGTCATTGACAAACGTCTGCTGGGGCGTGTCGCTATACCCGAAAACGCCGGTCCACTGCTTGATGGTCTCGTTGTAGTTGGGCGGCAGCAGCGTGGCGTCGACGGAGCCGTGGTGGATGCGCATCCGGGGCCGCACCCCAGTATACCCGGGGTACATGGCCTCGGCGACGCCGGCCCAGTACGCCTGCGACTCGACGACCTGGCCCTGCGCGCACGTGCTGTTCCACCCGTCCACCGTCCCCGTGTAGAAGCACCCCGCCGGCACCCCCGAGTACGCCACGCCCGCCGCGAACACGTCCGGGTACGTCGCGGCCAGGACGTTGGTCATCATGGCGCCGGAGCTGGACCCGGTCACAAAAACGCGCGCGGCGTCGGCGCCGTACGCCGAGATGGTGTGCGCCACCATGTTGGCGATGGACTCGCTGTCGGCGCCGCCGCCGTGCGTCAAGGCGGCCTGCGAGCTCACGTCCCAGCACGTCCCCGAGTACGGCGACTGCGGGTAGATGACGATGAAGCCGTACTGCTCGGCCAGCGTCGCGTACGGCGTCCCGCTGTAGTACGCCGACGCCGTCCCCGTGCAGTAGTGGATCGCCACCACGATGGCCGGGTTGGATGCCAGGTTGTCCGGCACGTAGATGTACATGAGCGTCCCCGACGCGTTGTCGCCAAAGTCGGTCACCTGCTGCAGGGATGCCCGCTTGGCCAGCTTCGGCGCCGGGCCCGCGGCCGCGAGCTGGCTCAAGGCCAGGAGGAGATAAGTTACGAAGCCGAGAAACATTTTTTTATTCTTCAAGAAGCAATATGACAAAATGTTGAATCTGAACGAAGGGAAAGAGCATCTGGGTAGAAGGCTTGGCTAGATATAGGTAATATGCAACTATAACATCTGGAGGTATAGGGCAACCAGACCCATGTGATAGCCTCGACGACGGACCCAGCAATGTTCCACTGATGGAGAAGCAAAGCCTTGCCCACTCATCATAGGGTCACAACCCGGCGCCGGACGGGTTACTTCCGACTCAAAATAGACGGCGCGGAGCTGTATTCAGGGCAATGGTACCCTGGTAGTCGGTCGAGCGGCGGTGTACAGCAGTCGACCGAAGTGATTACCCGGCGCGGATCGGAGCGCGGTGACGACTACAAACTACTCAACCTATTTTGAAGCGGAGAGGGTTGCGATAGTCCAGATCATTCAGCACGCATGTTGGAACATTATTCATGCTTGTTTAGCTTCCGCATTCAAGACAAGATTCGACCAATGCTATCGTCTTCCGAGAAATACGAGAAAATGCTCCGCCGGACATGTTGAGAAATGACGGAGCTTGGCGCCCCGTATAGGGTGACCGGTTCTGGCTCCGCGCACATTTTCTCCGCCAATGACCTCCGCACCGGCCCCCTGGTCTATGAAATGGAGACCCGATTTGGATGAATTCTCCTCGATTATCTGAGTCTGGTCAAAGCATCGATCTTGATTGTTCTTTTTCTTCTCGAGCTTGCCCGGAATTGAACGGGTATGACGGCAGCATTGCCTGTTATTGATCATGGTTTTTGTACGGGTTGTGGTATGTATGACGACGCTTCACACCGTTCCATCATCTTGTCATTACCCGGTGGCGACGCATGCACAGGCAGTCCCGTTCGGGAGGCTAGATCGCGGGATGTGATTAGATCATTACCGACTAGAAGTTTTCGGTCCAACGGGCTCTAGAAAAAGAAGACACTGACTATCGTTCCGTCGTTGATCATCTCGACGATCCATCTCGGAGGTCCGTCTCGGCGATGAGAGAGACTTAATTGAAGGCTCGTCTTCCTTCCTCGCTCTCGGATTAAGATGTGATGCAATCAAGATGTCTCTGTGCATTTTGGCAAGGCACATCGAAATCTCAGCTCGATTAATCGTAAGCAGATGATTGGTTTAGAAAATCATCATGTCTTTTGGGTATCATTATCATCCTCGGTATCCCTCCACGATCCATCAACCTATACTACATGAAAACTCGTCTTCTTCGTGATCCCCTGAATATCCTCCTCGTTCTCGCCCAGCGTCCTCGCCCACTTGTTGCCGCCGCCGTTGCTGGTCTTGACATTGACCCGATAATCGTGGGGGTCGCTGCGGAGGCTGACCCTCGTTCCTGCTTGCTGGCGCTCAAGGTCGTCGGCGCTCTTGTCCGACATGACAATCGACTCTTCTTCTTCCGCCTCCTCGTCCATGCGCGTAAACGTTGTCATGCTGAACAGGCTGTGCGGCGTCGTCTTGCGGCTGAAGGAGCTCTTGCCGCTGCCCTGGCCAAACGTCTTGATCCCGGCCGACGAGGGCGTGTGGCCGCTGTCGCCCGTGCCCGTGAAGCCGAGCTTGCGCATGGTCATCTTCATCAGCGGCTTGAGCGTCGCGAGGCTGCCGGCCGTGATGGCGAGGCCCATTTCGATTTGGGACCAGATGGCGATGTCGGTAGTCGAGTCTGTAATTGAGAGCTAATGAGTATACATCCACAGATGATAAGACGAATGGACCAACTCACATAAGAAGTCGTTGCTGTGGAAGTTCTCCAGATACGCCATCCGCACAGCCACGGCACAGCTGGCGACACATCCCATGCTGAGAATGGGGATCAAGGCGAACTTGACCCTCTTGTCCATTTGCAGATTCCACACCAAGTAGACCGGGAGGAGCGTAAACGTAAAGTCGGTAATAATAGAGAGGGCGCTGTAGGCGTAGACGACGTCGATGATGACGTCGATGGAGAGGCAGGACCCCTCGCCGGCCCTCGTCCAGAAGTAGGACACGGGCGTGCACTGGAACAGGGCCACG